GAAAGAGTGATAAAGCTTGAAATATAGACAGTGTATTTAAGATACTAGTCAAATCTTGAATTTTCCAGGCTATATTAATTTAGAATTATGCGTACAACTAAGCTTGTCACATGACATTTCTAAACTCACTTTTTAAAATACTACTTTCTTTTGATACTGAATTCGTAAGGGGTGGGATTGCGCTCCCTCTTAGAAGACAAACACATGTTCTACTTGCAATTTTTTATTAACAGAGAGATGGTACTTCAAAAAAACAGACTTACTTCCATTGACTCCATTGATGGCATCATACTCCATTCCACCAGATCTGTGTGAATCTGAAAATAATGATTCAAGTCGAGTCACTGCTTTCTCCAGTCTCTCCATCAAACCATGAGTCTCTGCCATTCTGAAAAAATCATTAAGGATAGAAACAGTGTTAGACCCCTCTGAGTAAAGCCCATGCTTTACTTCGTGTTACTGTTCTGTTCATCTTGTGGCTTTATGTTTTATCAGCTTTTATGGTAAAACTCCTAAGTATTGTCTTTCTGGCATATAAGCAGTTGCAGTGAAGCAGCTGACACACGGTAACTTGCTTCTTTGTCAACAGGGAATATGATAAGTACGCAGCTCTGGTTTTTCATTGTCAACAGCAGATTCAAACCACTACTAGCATAGCTTTGGACAGTCTATATGTGAACAATTTATGACAAATACATGTGTATGCTCCCAATCAGATATGGAGATGACTGAAATATTTATAAATGTAATTGGTAAAAACTGACACCTACAATGATTTGCATCAGCCTTTTACAGAGGCAAAAATACAGACCAAATTAATACTTGACTGAAAGCTAGACTTTAAGTGTATACCTCCTGATTTTTGAATAGGTACATTCTGAAATTTGCCTCAGTCTTTTATGCTTTGTGATAAGACTCAGCCACTTTATTCAAGACTACACAAGAAGCCAAAAAGGTCTTCTGTTTATTCTTCTGATATGATTTCTCATCACTTAATTTTTTTCTTACGAAAGTACCTGATGTGAATGAGTCTTTCCCAAGCTTTTTAAATCAAGCACTAATTAACCTTTGGAAAGAAAAGAAAATCCAGGGGCCTGCTTGTGCAGTACTGCTACAGTGCTTTTGATTTAAAATTAAATAGAAATTAGGTTAAATTTTTAACAACTCACACATTATTTTCTTTCCCCACAATGTGATTATCTGCTTTCTTATGTGTGAGGAAGTGTAGGCATTGACATTTTTGAATACTGGCCAATGTCTCAGGGAACACAGTGCTATATACACCTCAGACTGAGAAACGGTTGTATAAGCAAAGACAAAGCTATGTTTAAATCCCCTATCATTTAATATAACAAGTTTCATGTACATGTTCCTCGCTTAAGGTTGTGAGTGTTTCATTCTGCTAAGTAACATACGGTAAGGGGGGGGGCATCTATGGCTCTGGATTAACATGATCCTTGAGAACAGTTCCAGCTCAGCTCCCACATGAGGCTACATCCCCTGCCCCCAGCACTGGGGTGTGCAGGAGCAGGGGCAACGGGGGAACTCGCATCCCCAGCTGGGGCAAGCAGGTAGCCAGCGGCTCTCCGGGGTCCCTACCCTGTGGCGCTCTGCCGCAAGACTGATTGCTGTGTGGCTTGTAGACTAGAACGGTTAGGCATACCCGGAATATATGTGTAAATGTATTAGTTCCTAATGAACAGCCTGCTAAAAGTACTAGTATTTCACAGATACCAAAGCATAACAGTAGATTCCAAGAAACTGTGCAATACTATGCAACTCTAGCAACCAAAACAAACAATGCTGCTTTGGTGTCCCCATACCCAGGGGGGAATGCCTAAATGTTATAATTAAAAAGTAAAGTAAAATGAAAAGAAAGGTTTTGATTTACAAATTAGTATTAATAACTCTTATGAATAAAAATAATAATAGTATTTTTACTTTTAAAATTTAAGTGCGAGAGAAGATTAGCTACTAGGACTGTGGAAACACATGCAGAGCTCTTGTGCTGAGTCATGCTGCCTGTCAAACAAGGTGGGACCTTCAGAGTTACCCTATAAATATAATGAGGTTTGTGTTTGACCCAAAAGTGAAGCAGAAGATTTTACAGTGAGAAACTCTCGGGAGAACCATTCTCATGAGAAAGTTTTGTCTGGAATTTATGGGTTTTTCCTATTTACATTAAATAAAAAAGCAAACCCCCAAAAGAGGATGACATTAGACAGTGTGCATATAAACACTGACAAAATTCAGAGGGGCTCTCCTTGCTTATACTGAAAATGCACACTATTCTGTTTGAAAAATCAGTGAGTTTTTCAAAAGAACACCTTAACCTTTTGTAAGGTTACAAGTATCTTGGCAGAAATGAGATGAAGGTATCAGGAGAGCTTCTAAAATGTTCAAACTTCTGTGAGAATATTAAACCTTTTCTTAAAACGGTTAATCCTCGAAAATATTATGGACACATTCTTTTCACATTTTACCCTGCTACATAAAAGCCTAAAGTGGTGCCTGTTTTAAAAGTTATGTTTTAAACCAGTCTAAAGTCAGGCTGGTCTAATATAGCATACTAACAGTCAACTCATTTCATCAGTATTTTAAAGTACACTTCCAGTATAGTTCCTGTTTGTCTTTATTTGAAGATACAGTCTGGTAGGTTGGGTTTTTTCATCTGCCTTAAAATTCTCCTTGATGACATGTTTGGAAGACCTGTTACTTTTTGGCCTCTTCAGCCTGATTTTGCCTGTGGAAGGACCCAATTGTTTGACTACAAACCCAAGGGGTTTGACTGCACACACCCGGAGGTCTGAGGAATCTCACAAATGAACAGAGGTGGATCAGACTTCTAATGTTCTACCCAACAAACTGCCCTCTGTAAGATGCTAAGAATATGGATTATGGTGTCAGAAGCTCAAGGGAATAACCCAACTCAGTAACTCTATGGACATTTTTATGCAACACTTTCCAGCTGCAACATAGTCATTTGCTCACTATATTCTTCACAACTTTATTCTATTCCCATTACCTGGAGAACTACAATGTTGTTTCTTCCAAAAGCAGGTATCACCAGCAAGGCAATCACAGAATAACACATTGTTATAGTCTTTTTAGACAGAGGTAGGAACCATTTTTATCATAACATTAGGGATGCCAGGTTTTTATTGTTTTTATAAGGAACGTTACACCTAAGAACTCCTCAATCATTATGTTTACGCTGAACCTCCCTTTTTATCTGTGTGCTTATATATTCATGACTACACGGTATTTGTATCTATACTTAGATATATGTGTGCACATAAGTATACACACAGGTATCCCTGTCATGTATGAATAAAGTGCAAGTATACTTTTGCCATTACTGTATATAACACTGCAAGAGCAAATCAGTTGTACATATAGTAACCTTACATTTACACTTTGCTTTACCATCAATTGACTAGGTATCTATCTTACAACCAAGACTGGAATTAATGTTACTGTTCTAAAGCCTAGACTCCATTGAGCAATAACATGACAATTCTCTTCATCCGTTCTCAATCTAAACATTGACATCTTTGCCTATATTTAGGGATTCACGTGTTTGGCTCATATTATGACAACCTTCAGCATTTTCTTGGCCTATATTCAGCTGTTCATCTGATTACTTATCATTCCACACTGCACTCTGCATGGTCAAACTGACACCACAAAGCCACAGCTCAAAAGGAGTCAGAATAAAATGGTACAGCTTGACTCTGTGAAGATACTGTGTGATGATACAGCATCAGAGCTTGTATTATAAATAAATAATAAGACTGGTCTACTTACAGTGCCAAATAAAATCTTTGTACGTTAATGAAAAGTAAGAGGATGTAAATATGTCTATGGGATGCTTCCACTCCCATAAAGCACATTCTTAATCAAGACAGGTTCTTTGTCTCATCTCTACTAGGATTTTAATTAAAGCTTTGATCTTGAAGTGAATTATCAGGGTTAATAATGTATCTTTTCCTGGAGTTGATGCTGACCACCTATAAGGAGTTAAAAACAATAGTGCTTCAACTCCCATGTAATCCTGTACCAGTTGCTCTCTTGGTGGAGAAGTACACTGTCCTTCACTGAAAATAAGGTCAACTAAGAGCCAAGAAAGGTGTTAACCCACATCTACTGACAATCATTTAAATGTTGACATTGTTAACTGTCTCTTGTGCACAAAAAATAAGAGGGAGGATCCACAGATCTGCCCTCTTTACTGTTAGTGGTATCTTTTTTGGGAGTGCTAAAGGCATGTGGTAATACTACCATCTGTCATTTCTTCCCCAAAAGAAATGAAGCCAAAACCAGGTAGAACAAGGCATGCTGAAGACCTCAAAGCAGATCTCTTTTTATAGACAGGCCTTGGGAGATCACTGCTTTCCTCCCCAATTTGCAGCTGTCTCAAAGCACCATTTATCTATTATCAAGCGAAAAAACCTTGTCTGTAGACAAAAATTCTCTGACATACTCATCCCAAACAGCAGTCAAACTGGAAGCCAAAACAGACAGGTACTATTCCTGTTATCATTGTATGAGACTTATGACAGGGGACCATATTGCTCTATCTCAAGAAGAAACAAGCTGTAACGAGCCACAGGGAAAAAGCAGTATAGTAGCATAAGGGGAAAAAATAAACATATGATGACTTATCAGGCATGTAAAAATGGCAGTTTTGAACACAGGAATGGTGCCACCCTGTAAAGTATGATATTATTCTGACAAACATCAGCAAGAGATAGTATAAAATTCCAGAGTTTGTTTTACTTCCTAACACCCTTTTAATTTAGAAGAAAAGGAAGCGACTTGTTCTTTTTTTTTTTTTTTTTTCCCCTAAGTACCAGTCCTTCCAAATCCACCTAGCATCTGAAAAATTAAGCCAGGTCTCAACTCATGCTTATCATCTGAGATGCTACAGGTCAGGTTTTGCTTTTCCTCACTATGCCAAAAAAGGGCAGATGCCTAAAACAGAATACAGGCAGCAATGTGGCATTTTAATTGTATCCAACATTCCTACACTGCTTGGAAAATCACAATCTTACTGAAGTATAGCAGCCTGCACATGTGCTTTCTCTCATAGTCTTTTAATAAATTGCTATTGAGATACGACATAAAATATACAAAAACCTAGATTGCCAGCTGGTACTATCAGAGAGCCAATTATGAACATTTCATAGATCCAAAGTACTCTGTCCTATAAGAGTTCTTCGGTACAATATGTATCAATATATATCAAGGGAGGGGAAATTTGCATGCATTCCTGAACATCCCCTCAAATTACAAAAGCATCCTATGGCACTTCATTTCTGAAAAAAACACAGTCAGCTTGAGCCTGAAATGGCTGGCTTTCCTACACCGCCATTCAAACGTATGTA